TCTTTTTCGCAAGGGGGGATTCGACCTATCTGTCTACTCTGACTCTGACTGGGCCAATGATAAAGATGATCGCAAGTCTACCACGGGCTACATACTCCTACTCGGTCCTAATATCATCTCTTGGTGCACGAAAAAGCAGACTCGTGTTTCTAGATCATCCACTGAAGCTGAATATCGAGCTATGGCTGCAGGGGTTGCAGAAGCTATGTGGCTTCGATATATCACTGATGCGCTGGGTATTCCTCCGTCCAAACCGAAGTTATACTGTGACAATGAGTCGACTATCTGTGTCACCAAAAATCCAGTTCTTCATGATCGCATGAAGCATGTGGGCACAGACTGTCACTTTGTACGAGATGAGGTTATGGCAGGCACTATGACTCCACATCATGTTTCCTCCTCAGAGCAGCTAGCAGACATTCTTACCAAACCGCTTCCGCCAGTTCCTTTTGAGTACTTATGTTCCAAGCTGCCCCTCGTCTCCGTTGATCAGCTTGCGGGGGGATATTAGGAAGTATAATTAAATTAGGATACTTCTTTCCTTTCCTACTAGGATTATTCTTTCCTTTCCTACTTGTACTTTGATTACTCTTGTATTCCCTACATATAGGGCCATATCTTTCAATATTCAAAAGACAAGTTATTATCAAATTGTATCAGTAATGTCTTTGATCGGAAGATTCATGTATGATATTTGTTATATAATATGTAAAATTTTGCACTAAATAGGACTAAAACATAATGACTTTCCTAATCTAGGATTTAAATTTTTTTATTCCCTAAATAAGACTTATTAATGTCTTAGTGGGAGGAATAATGTCTAGTAATAATGGATATTTACTTGAATAATGACTAATTCATAATGACCAAAAGTCCTACATTGGGAAATAAAAACATATGGTTCTATATTGGGAAAGTCATTATGTTTTAGTCCTATTTAAGTAAATTACTCTTGTTATATTGGTTGTTATGTCTTTGAGTTTAAATGTTTGCTTAAATGTCTTTGATTCTAAATATTTTGGGCACTGAACAGTACGGAGTATTTCATTTCTTAATTTAGGACTTAAACTTTTTATTCCCTAAATAGGAATCAATAATGTGTTAGTGAGAAGAATAATGTCCAGTAATGATGGTCATTTACTTGAATAATGACTAAAAGATAATGACCAAAGATCCTAGGAAATAAAAACATATGATCCTATATTGGGAAAGTCGATCATTATATTTTAGACCTATTTTGGTAAATTTCTCTACTTTTATACTACAATTGTTAAAAAAATAGTTGAGGCATTGTCTATAATGGGTTTGTAAAGACTTTTTAATGCGGAATAAGACATTAAGAGTATGACTTTTGGCAAATAAAGGAAGGAAAGGACATTATGAGTATGAGTGTATATGTTGTGTTCAAACATTTTATTGTATTATCTAATGGTATTGTACAAGCTCTACAAAAAATATGTTTGTAGTATATATGTTGTGTCGTTCCAACTTGACACACATCAATGAGACATTGGTGGCTGCAATAATACCCGTGCAGATGGACATTAACATTGAAGACAAGGACATTATAGTGGTATGCAGATGAATATAACATACAAGGACCATATAGCAATCAAGAAATGAGGACATTAATGGTATAAATTAAATGTGAAGGACACTGTAAAGGCCAATGGAGACATTGGTGGCTACGATTATACCCGCGCAGATGGAAATTAACATTAAAGACAAGGACATTATGGTGGCATTCAGATAAAAATAACATACAAGGACCATATAGGAATCAAGAAAGGAAGACATTACTTTATAAATTAAATGTGAAGGATGCGATAAAGGCCAATGGAGACATTTGTGGTTGGGATTATACCCACGCAGATGGACATTAACATTGAAGACAAGGACATTATGGTGGTATGCAGATGAATCTAACATACAAGGACCATATACCAATCAAGAAAGGCGGATATTAATCTATAAATAAAATGTGAAGGACGTTGTACGTAAAGGCCAATGGAGACATTGGTAGCTGCGATTATACCCGTGCACATGGACATTAACATTGAAGACAATGACATTATGGTGGTATTCAGATGAATCTAACATACAAGGACCATATAAGAATCAAGAAAGGAGGACATTAATCTATAAATAAATGTGAAGGACGCTGTAAATGCCAATGGAGAAATTTAAAATAACATAAACCATAATGACGATGCACACAATATGTAAGATTAATACATTATGCTAAGAATATGAAAGTTATTATAGAAATATATCAAGAATATATGTATGCCTTATTTGGGAATATTTCAAGTACATGTTCTATCTCTAAAATTAACTACAAAGGATCTCTCATCATTGTCAAGAACTTGAAATTTTAAGAAACCAGTTGGTGTAACTATTATGATTAAAATAAGGACACATTGTAATACTCACACTGTGGTGTATAATGTCTACAATAGTTTATGGAAGGACAATGAAATAAGAAATGTTACTTTCTCCGTTCTAAAATTGACTTTCCAATTTGACTTTCTTAGTCAATTTTTTTGAATTTTGATCGTATATAATGGAAAAATTACATTGATTTCTCATATAAATTTAAAATTAATATATTCATTTTAAAACATAGTTTTTAATTTTTTTTATATTTGGTATATATTTATATATAAATAAAAATATTAACGATTAATGTGTTGCATTAAAGATTGTGAAAATTCAAATGAGAAATTAATTTTAAGACGAATAAAGTATTTAAGTTAAAATATAACGGAGACCAACAAGAACTTAATAAAAGTTAATTACTACGGTATATCAAATTATTTATACTCCGTATGTACTAAGTTATTGTGGTCACCTTTTATCATTTAGAACTTTTGATTTTTTAGATGTATAAATTTTATACTTTAAAATTTTACTTTAGTTTTCATACAAATGAAATTAAAGATAAAAGTACACCATTATTGAAATCGGCATATTAAAGTAAAAAATAAGATTTCTAAATAAAAAGGATAAAAAAGGGGAAGATGGGTCGATGAATTTCATTCCCTAAAGTTTAGGAGTAATAAATGATTCATTAAATCATAATAAAGTAAACAAAACCAGAAAAATAAAAAATGGGAGTTCTAATTCAGGGGTAAAAATGGAAGAGCCTCCTGAAAGAAGTCCTATTAATTGGAAAAAACTTAGTTGCTCCTATTTAGAGAAAGTAAACCACTTTAGGTCTTAGATACAACAAATTTTACATATTGTGAACTACGATTTCTTTTCTTTTTTTTAAATGTGAAAAAATACTAAAAATAGTGAAAATAAAAAATATAATTTAAATTTAGAAAAATAGGGGATAAAATGTACTCCAGGTGTGAGATTATAAATCACATGTTTTTCTTCTAAACAAAAGTAAAAAAGTACGTATGAAATTTTCTTGATAGTGAAAAATCTTTGATGAGGTGGTGGGAGAAATTAAAGTTGTGAGCTGTTAGTAGGTGGGTTTTAATTCGTGGGCTTATTTGATGTTTCTTAATGCTTTCAAAAAAAAAAGAATATCGGTCCACTTAAAAAAAGTCTAATAAGTTAAATCTTTATTTTGTACTACGTATTTAATTTTGTTATTCATTTATTAAAATGACATATTAATAGCATTTTTTGTTTCATAATTCATACTCCATCCGTTCTTAAAAGGTCTTTTCCTTTCCTTGTTATATTTCTTTGTCCCAACATCTCATTTTCCTTCTGATTTAAATTTTTTATATACTTACTAATTATCACCACACCTATCAATGATACCTTTTTACTAATAATATTTTTTTAACATTATACTTTTATCTGTCACATCAAAAGTAATTTAGAAAAGTCAAATTTGTTTTTTTAAAAATAAGTCAAATTTGTTTCTTGAATCACATAAAAGTCAAAATTTGTTAATTTTGACTTTCAACCATATTTGATAAACATTGATTCTCAATTAAACTAAAAAATGCAATAAATTAAACACTAAATAATACTCCTTCCGTCCCACAAAAAAGTTCTCATTTTGAATAGTATTTAGTCAAATATTTACACGCTTTGACTACAAATCGTGAGAAAGGTATATTGAATTATAAAATAAATTTAATATAATTGGATTCATCTTAGGATCTAGTTTTGATATGTCAAATTTTTTTAGCATTTCTTTATTTAGATTATATTTAATTTATGGTCAAAGTGTGTAACTGTTTGACCAATTTATGGTCAAAATGGGAACTTTTTTGTGGGACGGAGGAAGTAGTAATAAAATTGTTGTTTTGAAAATTAGACTAAAAAATTATTTTTATACTCAACATTGAATAAAAAACATAATTTTTATTTAATTATTGATCAAGTTTAATTATAAGACTAATGCATTATCTTATAAAAATAAGAGTAATTTTGAAGTAAACGTGTTGACATATATTTAATTCTTTTTTACGCTTTAAAATGCACACTCATTTATATCTTGGGTAATTTACGCAATGAGACTTAAATATATTATTTTTTCCAAACAGGATCAGTCCTATTTACTTTACATTTGGCAATGAAAAATTCTAAATTATCGTATCTTCGAGAAGAATGACGTACTACGTGTTAGTTCGATATGAAGTAAATTTTTTCAAATATTTTTTTAAACAATAGAGTTTTCATCACTCCCTACTTTTACCGTCAACTAAGTTTTGTTTGTTAAGTGCTACAATTGAATGGAGGATCAAACTCTCAAAGGCTCAAAGTGAAAGTTTCATTAAATTAATGTTTACCGACACAATAATAGACTGTATAATTTGCTGACAAAGGAGACCCATTTTCAAACCCTAATAACCTAAAGCGTCGCTACTACAGTAACATGCTGTCAAAAGACGGCATGGGCTTCGATTTGCAAACCCTACTTCTTTTTCAATACTCAGTATTTTGTACTTAGACTTTTCTAGTGCTCTTACATCCCATCCTTGTATTTAATTCTTTAAAATTATCTTTGATATAAAAAGTAAAAATAAGATTTAATGACTATATTATTAAATAGTGAATAGATAAGATAAAAATTTGTAAAGTTAAAATCATTTTTCATAGAAAGAGAAAGAGATACTGGGACAAAGAAAAGAAGAGGAGAAAATTATTTAAGGAGGGAATATTATTTTAAACTAGAAAAAAACAACTCTCCATTAGTCAATTGAGATAAAATAAGCTTTATCTACTTTCTCTAAGATAATATAATTCACACTCTTGTATGCAATTCATCTTTTTTATTCTAAGAATTTGTTGTACCAAGTATATATATGGAGTACATAGAGAAATAATCAGAGGGCAACAAAAATCATAAATTAAAATAAATTACATAAATAGATCCATCAAATAGATGCTAAGACAATGTTATAAAACTAACAAAAAATAGTTGGCAGACAGAGTACTATAAAATCTCTTCTGTCACATGCACACATTGTAGCGTAGCGTCGCACCGCGCGAAGTTTTTTTCTTTTCAAACTCATTATTTTTAATTTTAAACTCTCTAATTTCAATTTCATTTATTCAATTTCAATTTTTTTAAAATTCATTTTATTTTTTCGAATTTCATGAATTAATATTTAATTTTTTATTCAACTTATTTATTTTTGTTAGTTTTGAACTTATATTTTGATATTATTTTTTACTTATTATTATTATTGTTGTAAATATTTTTGTAAATCGAGTATTATGTAATTCTATAATTATTTATCTATTTTAATTAATAAATTTTTTTAATGACGGTTTCCCTTTTTATTAATGTAGCAATTCGTAACTTTATTGTGGTATTCACTTATTTTTAATTTTTTAATTGTTACAATATTATTTTATTTTTTATAAGTATTCATCTATTTTTAGTACTAAATAAATATTTTTATTAAAATTATTTAAATTTTCAATAATAAGTGATAAATAAAAGAAACTCCTAGGATAGGACGTAGGAGTAAAAAAATATGAAAAAACCAAAATAATAGTCGTAAGTCTTTTAAAACCAAATAAGATTATACTGGCAATGTGATGCAAGAGTACGTATTAGCAGTGTAATGAAAAGTGAGGACGGTGTTATTAGTCTACTGTAGGTAATGCACGGTTGTAGTTTGTGTCCGGCGGCAAAGGATGGCACTGTAGTAGGTGTAATGCGATAATATAGTGAGTGTAGTTGTACAATTATAGCATTATGAACTCCTACTTTTGTCTTAAAAACTCAAGACTCCTAGTTTGATATTTTCATAATTTTTTCCTCTTATCTAGAGATTTTTTGCGATAAATAATGTAAAAGAAATGGATAGGAAGGGTGTTGATCTGAATCTGATCACGAAAAGAAGAAGATGAATGCAAGAAGCTAGAAGAAAGATGAAGACATTGATTATGGCTATGTGATTACAGCAGCAGTTCTGGGAAGAAGAACAGGGCCTATTTATACAGAGAAGAAGCTACGGGAAAACAACAGAGAAAGAAAATAACAGACTGTAACAAACTTCTAACTAACACAACTGACTAACAGATTATTAACTAACTGAGTAACAAAGTGTAACAAAATGAACAAGCTGTATCCAACAAAGGGCCAGAAGGGGATATAACATTGCAGGTGCTTTGGATCATGACTAGAAAAAAAGGAAAAATACTGATGTGGCAGCCAATGTGGTGGGCCACCATCCCATTTGTAAATGCTATAAGCACCGTCAATAAAACTGACAAGCCATATGGCATAGGGCATAAACTAGCTAGCTAGGTAGCCTTAGCTTGATCGTGCATGCAGTACGTCGACCGGCAAAGCAACAGTTGCCCTAAAACCTTGTCCGGATGCATGAATGCATGGGATTCTATGTTTTACGGAGATATATGGGACGAGTACTCGATCATACAGGCCGGGAAGGAAAACCCTAGACAGTATTTTTCTTGATTTTTTGATCAAAATGTTTGGGTGATTGGAAGTCCTGAAATATCCTAATGAGGGTATTTTCGAAATGAAAATCGGTAATTATTTATAAAAATCGTACAAGCTAAAATACCGTTATTACAATTAATTAGGGATGGGTCTCCAGATCTGGACACCAAGTTCAGTTGTGCTTTCGTAGTCTTAATTAGGAATGGGTCTCCCTCCGTTTCACAAAACCCTTCCTCTTTCGTTTTTTTTGCTTTTAACAAAATACTTCCACTTTCTATTAAAAAACCACTTTTACTCTACTTTTCATACCCTACATATCACATTATACTTTTTCATTAATAACCAAACTATCACACCTTATTTTTTCCCATCATATCAAGGGCAAAATTGGAAAATCAACCAAAATTACACTTTCCTTATTTTTCCCCAAAGTCAAAATCGGAAGGGTTTTGTGGAACGGAGGGAGTATGTGAAATAGTAATTTTCTTACACTTTTTCTAAGGCAACATGGAGATTTTTTTTTTTTTTTGCAAAAAACTCAATTCTTTCATGATCATCTATTAGTCATTATTCAACTAAATATTCAGCATCATTTGGACATTATTCTTCTCACTAGTCATTATTAAGTCCTATTTAAGAAATAAAAAAGTTTAAGTCCTACATTAAGAAATGACTTATGTTTTAGTCCTATTCAGAGCAAATTTCACTTAATTTAATTAGATTCATAAAATAAGTATAAACCTAATGATCACGGAAAATTTTGCCATTAATGTTATAGGGTAGAGGTAGTATTCTTTTTCGATTTCATGTTTATAATAATACGTACCAACTACATAAAATATACTCGGTATATTGTCTATGCATGTCTCATATCTTTCTTCATACTTTTGACTTTGGTGGTCACACTTTTAGTCGCAAATTTTGAAAAAAAAAAAAAGATTAAATTGTGGTGTAAATTGAATATCAATAGAATCATGTTGAAATGCAGTTCTTCTCCCTTGGATTGTGTGGTAGGAAGCCTACTCCGTGAGATTCATGTGGAAATTCATTCAAGTTTGAGTATCATTGGAGGCAGAATTATTGATTCTTTGCGCGTCATTAGGTTGAGAATAATACTTCTTCTGTTCCATAAAACCATTTCCCTTTCGTTTTTTTCTAATTCTCTAAAACACTTCCACTTTCTATTAAAAAACCACTTTTACCCATACTTTTAATACTCTACCTATCACATCATACTTTTTCACTAATAACCAAACTATCACATCTTACTTTTACCCATCACATCAGGGGCAAAATTGGAAAGTCAACCAAAATTACATTTTCCTTATTTTTGTCCAAAGTCAAAATGGAAATGGTTTAAATGAACAAGTAGAGTATAAACAACTACTCCCTCCGTTCTCAAAAACACTTGCTCTTTCATTTTTTCCACTTCCAACAAAACACTTCCCCTTTCTATTAAAAAACCACTTTTAGCCTTACTTTTTTATATTGTACCCTACCTATCACATCATACTATAATACTCCCTCCGTCCTAAAATTAATTTCCCAGTTTGACTTTTGCAGTCAAACTTTTTAAACTTTGACCGTAAATTAAGAAAAAAATACATTAAATTTTCATATAAATTTATAAGGATTAGATTAATTTTGGAATATAGTTTTGAAATATATAATTTTTATAAAATATATTTATATAAAAATTGAGATATTGATGGTCAAAGTGTCGCATTAGAGATCGTGAAAAGTCAAATGAGAAGTTAATTTTAGGACGGAGGGAGTAATAAAAAAAAAAGTGAAATACTATCTTTTTTTTGTAATATGTATTTATACACAAGTGAGGAATATTGATAGTCAAGGTGAACATTATTAAAGATGATAAAAATCACAAAAGAAAGATTTAAACTTCCAAATTATATATAGAAATATTTGCACTAAATATCACACACAAGTCATAAGTGACGATTTATGTATAATACTTGGGTTTAACACTACAAGATACTCTTAGCTTGGTTAATAATGATGGCACACCAAGCTTAATTGTGATTAACTAGTAGTACAACGACGATACGATGATGAAGACGTACGTACGGTAATTAACATAGTAGGGAATGTTTTACATAATTACGTGGGGTACCTATACCCTTACATTACGTACCCTTACATTACGTACCATTAAGTTTTAGTGCTATTTAGTGCAAATATTTCATTATTAAACATTACAAACTTAACTCGTGCTGGTTGACTCAGCCATCACCGCCTTTGACGCGACTTTCACACGCTTTCTCGCCGCAGTTTCTCGTTGGCAAATGAAGTACACGCCGGCGACAGGAGCACCCAACTCGTTATCCTCCGCGAACTTGCGCGCCTTGAAGTTGTCCCTGGAGGAAGACGGCGGCGCGTTCACCGTCTCCCGCCCCTTCTGCTCGTAAAGCAGAAATACGTACCTGTGGATTCCTATGGTTGGCTTTGGTGCTTCGTAACTCAACAAATCTTTTCCTGTCCATAATACGTTCACCAATTACTCACCCCCTCCAAAAATAATCAATTTGTTGGTCTTGATTTCGTTATCCATTTGTTAAAATAATTTAGTCGTATGTCACATCTAGTTTTTTTTTATATTTTTTAATGTAACTTTTAAAAATGAAGTTTTTAATTTTTTATTCCAAAGTATTTTTTGTATATATATAATGATTTTAAAATAATTTCAATTAAATATTGTAGCGCGCAATGAAAATTAAAATTTTAGACGGAGTGAGTATATTAAACTCACCTCATAACTGTATACTCCCTCCGTTCTCAAAAACACTTCCTCTTTCATTTTTTCTACTTCCAACAAAACACTTCCCTTTTCTATTAAAAAACCACTTTTACCCTTACTTTTTCATACCCTACCTATCACATCATACTTTTTCTCTAATAATCTATCCATCACATCTTACTTTTACCCATCACATCAGGGGCAAAATTGGAAATCAACTATAATTTAACACTTCCTTATTTTTGCCCCAAATTAAAATGGGAAGGGTTTTTCCAAACGGAGGGAGTATAATTTTTTTTTATAATCCATAGTCAAAGAGTGTAACAATTGAACAAAAGAAAATCAAACTAAGACAATAATTATGAGATTGAATGTTTGAATGCATAATAGTTAGGGTAATTTATCTAAATAGGACTAAAATATAATGACTTTCTCAATATAGGACCATATATTTTTATTTCCCTATGTAGGATCATTGGTCATTATCTAGTAATCATTATTCAACTAAATGTCCAGCATCACTTGGACATTATTCTTCTCACTAGTCATTATTAAGTCTTATTTAGAGAATAAAAAAGTTTAAGTCTTACATTGGGAAATGACTTATGTTTTAGTCCTATTCAGTGCAAATTTCACTAATAGTTACTCCCTCCATTTTATAAATATAATCCCTTTATTGACTTTGAAGGAAAATAAGGAAAAGTTATTTAGAGTTGACTTTTCAATTTTGTTCTTGATGCGATGGATAAAATAAGATGTGATAGGTAAATTATTACTGAAAAATATGATGTGAGAGATCATGCAAGAAAAAGTATGAATAAAAGTAGTTTTTTCATAGAAAGTGGAACTATTTCTGAAAAAATGAAAGAGAAAATGTTTTAAAAAAAAAGGGAGCATATTATACTCTATGGAGTATATTTAAAATACACTACCTCCGTCCCGAAAAATATTTTATGTTTTGACATTTTTATCAAACATTTTTTACCATAAATTGAAAAAATTTATTTCTAATGTAAATTTAAAATAATTGGATTTGCCTTAGGATATAGTTTTAATATATCAAATTTTTGTAGTCCCATTCGTTCACTTATTCACATTATTTTTATTTGTGGTAAAAAAAAGCGTCACTATTTGACTAAAAAATTTAAAATATGGAAGATTTTTTGAAACCGAGGTAGTAATTATTAAAAACAAAAGATTATAAGATGGCTGAGCAAGATGGCGTTCCGAATTGTATGTACCAATCCATGCATGCATTATAAGTACCTTTCATTTTTTTTATAATGCATTATAGAGAGAGACTAATTAAAGAGATTTCTCCCGGTAAAAAACGTACCAAATGTGGAATCTGTGGTTCCTGCCCTTCCTGGAATGTCTGTCACAATCCTGCACATAAGTGTTAAAAATCGACTATTAAAATATAGTTTAACCTAAATAAATATTTATCGGTACAATATTTTGTAACGTCTTAAAATGAATCCAATAGCTTTAAATAATAATTTAATTACGGTTTAATTATTTATTAATAATTACCAGTGTACGTGCTCCCTGAGATATGGATCACTTGGACTAGGAACATCCGGGTCTGTCATAATCTTGTAGCCCAAAAGAAAGAAAAAAAAGTGCACCGAGTGATATTATTAAATTTATGAGCATTAACATTTAACATACTCCGTATTAAAGTTTCCTCTCTCTTTTTTGATCTCCTTAACATTTTCCCTTTCTTTTAATCTGTTTCAAAAAACTTTTCTCATTTCTATTAATAAGTTTATTTTACCCCTACTAATTCTTAACATTTCTATCAAATCACACTTTTTCACTACTAATCTACCCATCACATCTACTTTTACCTATCACATTCAAGACATATCTATAAAATCAACACCAAAATATACTCTTCATAAATCTCTTAAAAATCAAAACAAAAAATGTTTTGTGGGACGGAGGGAGTATTAAAAAGTCATTTTTACCCCAACTAATTCTCAGCTTACCTATCACATCACATCTATTCAATATTATTAATCTACCGACTAAATCTAACTTTTTACCTATCACATGAAACGAATGACATTTTTGAAAACTCAACACTAAAACACATTTCGTTTTAAATCTATTAAAAATCAAAACTTCTACTCCCTTCGTTCTCAAAAACACTTTCTCTTTCATTTTTTTCACTTCCAACAAAACACTTCCACTTTCTATTAAAAACTCACTTTTACCCTTACTTTTTCATACCCTACCCATCACATCATACTTTATCTCTAATAATCTATCCATCACATCTTACTTTTACCTATCACATCAAGGGCAAAATTGGAAGTCAACTACAATTTAATACTTCCTTATTTTTACACAAAGTCAAAAGAAGAACACTTTTTCCAAACGGAGGGAGTAATGTTTTTAGGGAGGGAGGGAGTGTATATATATATATCAAGGAGCATATGTATATATAGTTACATACGAGGGTGAAGAAGGTTTTGAAGTTGGTGCCGTGAAGGCGAACCCTAGGCGGAGAAGAGACGTCGGAGGGGAGGAACTCGTCGCCGCAGCAGAAACGGTAAGAGCCGTAAGACTCGTAAATGACAGACATTGACACGGTTGGGCTCGGCGTGAACATGTCCACCACATCCCCTATCACCTTCGCTGTCACCAATGGCTCTTTTGGTTGTGATGATGACATCTCTTCTTCTGATGATCTAATAATATAATTAACTCTTTTTTATTATTTATTAATTAATTGTAACTTATAATTACTTAATTAATGTGGAACTCATGAGAGTCCCCCTCCTATATTTATAGTGTGAAAAAGTTGCAAGAGAAAAGATCTATCATATAGCACTCCTTAGCTTCTAGGCAAACTACTTTGTTCCTTTAGATTAATTTAGTTGGAATATAAAAACCTGCAGATTCTCCATCAACATGAGATGATGTCAACAGCAATTGATGAAATGAATCCCTTTTTGCTTTAATGTTGCAAAAAGGGGTTGGGCTTGAATCCTCACCCCCAAGGGCCCCCTCACACCCCATCCCGATGAGGTATGTGCGTGGGAAGTGGTAAATTAGAAACCCAACGGCCGGTTAAAGCGGGGTCAACCCCACAGACATATATGCAAGAAGCTCATTCTTATAGCTCAAAATGGCCTTAGGATATCACTCTCATACTCACTAATAGGAAGACTCCTAATATTATTTAGTTTCTTGTATTACCATAATTACTTTATTCCTTTCCTACTAGGAATAGGACTCTCTCTTGTAATCCCTATATATAGGGACATATCTCTCAATATTCAATAAGACAAATTATTATCAAATTGTATCATGGTATCAGAGCCTAGGTTTAAACCCTAGCTCTTTTTTCGAGACTGTGCCTCACCGCCGGTCTCCTTCCTCTCACCGGTCGACCATAAACGGCGACCATGGCTCAATCTTCAGATCCGCTTGCTTCGCTTCCTTCTGGCGTCAAGCTTCTTCTCCGCAATCTCCATAATCTTATCCCAAAGAAGTTCACCGATTCAAATTATCCTGCATGGTCTCTCAATTTCAAAACTGCTCTTGAGGCCAACCTTCTTCTTGGTTGGATCGATGGTCATGAAGCTGCGCCTCCAAAAATCCTATCCAAGGATGGAAAGGATAACCCTAACCCAGAATTCCAAACATGGATTGTGATTGATACTCAGATCCGTGCATGCCTCCTTGCCGTCATCAGTCCGTCTGTTCACAAGCATGTCCGCAACTTCACCACATCTGCCGATCTATGGAATGCTCTCGCTGCCCGGTATAATTCTATTTCTACCGCTCACATCTATCAACTACGGGACAAACTTCACACACTCCGAAAAGGTACAAAAACTATCACCCAGTACCTTGTTGAAGTTGCCACTATCCTCACCGATTTGGATGCTCTCAACGAGGTTATTCCTGAGAGAGATGTGGTGAATGCTGTTATCCGAGGCCTCCCTCATGAATATTCCTCCTTCAAGCAAAATATACGGATGAACAATGAGAATATAAGTCTCAATCAACTCTCTGGGTGGCTAACCTCTGAAGAAATAAATCTTGAAATCGAGCAAAAATTGAGTATTTCAGATTCCGCCTCCGGAGTTTCTCACTCTGCACTGTATACAAACAGCGGTCGAGGCCGCGGTCGAGGAGGTCGATTTCTGGGCGAGGATCTGGATCCGGTCGCGGCGGTCGAAGCTACGGAAGGGGGGGAGGCCGCGGACCTTCACGTGATCTTCCAGTATGTCAGATCTGTTCAAAGCGTGGCCACTCTGCTGCTACCTGCTGGTACCGCTATGATGATTCTTTTACTGAGAGCAACTCGGCTACCAATTCTCGTGCTATGCATGCAACCACAAGCAACCAAACTGGTGATTGGTACCTTGATACAGGTGCTAATACTCATGTTACGCATGATCTTTCACAGCTGCAAACTCTGACTCCCTACCATGGCACTGAAACTATTACTGTAGGTAATGGTCATACTTTACCCATCACTCACACAGGTTCAGGCTCAATTCACACCCCGAATGGTAAATTTCACCTCCACTCCCTTAATCATTTTCCCTCCCTTACTTCAAACTTACTGTCCGTTCACCGTTTTACCAAAGATAATAATTGCACTCTTGTTTTTAATGCCAACTCCTTTCAGATAGTGGACAACGATACGAATCTGGTGCGGTACACGGGCCCCTGTGAGCATGGTCTCTATACCCTTCCTTCCAAGCCTATCCCTGTTGTGCGTCAAGCTGTCACTGCATCCACCTGGCATCGCCGGCTTGGACATCCGGCTCCTGCTGTTGCCAAGTCTATTTTGTCTACTTTAGGGTTTAAATTTTCTGATCACTTACATTGTGAGTCCTGTCATGTGTCTAAGTCTTGTCGTTTATCCTTTGAACTCTCTGAACATAAGGCCACA